TGCTCCTCATTGCTCCTTGTGTCTTTATACAGAGTGGCAGGAGGAAGAAATGACACAGAAAGGGCGATAAGCCTAAGCCACATTCTTAGTAGTATGCAGTATGCAAAGCCTTTCTGCTTCAGTTTATTCCAGAAATGGGATCTATTGAAACCCTCTATCCCTGCAGTACTGTATGACCATTGCTCGTAGCAGGCCACAGGTTTTGTACTGAGTTTGCAACAGTCAGGACTGAGGCTTGTCAGGCTTTTTTTGCCTGGACTTTTATTGACCTGCCTGCTGCTTTATTTTGCTTTGGTTTAGCTGTAAGAGCATTTTTTTCCTTCTGACCAGGTGGCTATGTCTGATTTGTTTTACTCTGACTAGCACTGTATGGTACAACCATAGTTTTATACATGTAACAGTAACAAGTAGCTATTCTGTGCACCATGAGATGTTCATGACTCCAACTTAATACGCTCGAGTTAATAGAGTTAATCATAAGCCTGATATGACAGCAGAGGCCTTAAGAAGTGGATGCACAGGATGTGGTGCAGAGGAGTACTGGCATGGGATAGTAAGAGATAGGGCACAGGCTTGACTTTAGAGACCTCACAGCTAAAAACAACTCACCTATGGTCAGTTAAAGAAATGCAGGTACGGAGCTGGACAAGAATGGGTTTAGGGCTAGCAAAAAGGACAAAGAAATAGTATCTTGCATATAATCAACATATATAGTAAATTTGGATGTAAAATGGAGTTTCATCCAGTGAAGAAAAACAAGGTGTAAAAGCATGTTAACAATCATAAAACTGGCCCCCAGAAGAATCTAGAGTGAGGAAGAAGAAACCATCACCATCAACCTTGCATTTGTCCCACTGAAGGTCTCCAGATGCTGACAATTCCCTGTAACACCCCCACCACCCCCAGAATGAAGCCACCAGCCTTAGGACCCAGATGAGCAAGGGCAGGGGAAGCATAACACCAGGAATAGGGGTATAAGTTAAGAAGAGTGTGCGTAACAATTTTAAATTTATTATTATTATTATCATCATCATCATCATCATTATCATTATTATTATTGAAGCTTTTTCTGCACAGGAGTGTTATTTATTTTTCTGTAATAATTAGACCTGGGCTAATAATTTTTTTTATTAGAGTGCTAAGATTTCAGTTATACTAAGAATAAATTCTTGTCTTTATATATATAAGGTGTGTTTCCCTTTTGCCCAGAAATAATATTTTGGGCATAACACTGTAAGGAGGTTCCCAAATAACTCAGAAACACACTATACGTCTCAGTCTCACAATAACCAAATCACTTTATGAGCTGAAATCACCATCAAAATGTGAAAAATGCATCTGCCTGGGAGAGGTCTAAAGAGCGTCTTGGTCTCAGCTGAAATGGTAAATGGTGTTTTGGGTAAAATAAACTTTTTTTTTCAGTTTCACCCTTGGATGCTCCCTCTATGAGTCCAAACTGATTGTGCTCACCTTCTAGCCTGCACTTTGGCAAAGAAGGAAGCCACAACAAATACCTTATGAGTTAGGATGCATTATTTTTAGCTGCAGATGAAAATTCAAAGAAATAAACAGAAACTCCCAAACTCTTTATCTTCTTCCAGTTCCTCGGTAAAGCTTTCCAAGTTAATGTCTTCGATTTCTAATGGATCTGGAATGTTTTACAGATGCATTACATTTGTAATGAAACTCAGAAGAGGTGCATTGCCATCAAACATGTGCCCTCGGCTTCAGCTTTTCTAAACTACTGAAAAAAACAAGAACAGGCCAAGGACAGGAGACAGCATGGCAGGCAGTACTCTGGCATAGCAGAGACCTGTGCCATTTAACACCACACAGAAGTGAGCAAACCGTGTGAAGGACTTCCCTAGTTTTGTGCTGGGCTTCCTGGGCAGAATTACAATGTAACCTGTAATTAAAGGTAACCCGTAATTATGGATGTTTTCACATCCTGGACATCCTGGACCTGTGGTATAGAGGCGATAGATGTAAGGCTGGTGGACATTCCTGATTCTGGGATTTCGGCTTCCCTCTTCCTTGGAGGATAGGATAGGATATTCACAGGATATTTTCTCTTGACTTTTATGTGTCTCTGCACACATTAGGTTTGACATTGCAGCCACCCCTCAGTGACTGAGGGCTGTCCCTGAAAGGGTCTGGCTTCCTCATTTCTGCTCTCCTGGCTGTAAGACTCTGCACTGTCCCTTGTGCCAGACCAGCTGTCCTGAAGCCTCAGGGTCAGCTGGGTCACCAAGCAGAGTCAGTACCAAATTATCCCTTCTCCATCTTCAAAAAAACAGTGTCAACTTTCTGGTCCAAGTGAGCCTGTGACCTTGCAGTCACCAGGCCGGGTGCAAGAAAGGAGGGGGGATGCACAGCACAGGCTGTGTCTCCTGGGGGCTGGATGGCCAAGGAAGGGGAGGCAAAGGTGGCCACGTCTGCTGTGTGCCACAGCCTACAGCAGGTGAAGTGGAGAAATTAATTTGCATTTTACTGCAAAATGACTGCCCATCAGTCTCTGCACAGCAGATGGACAGGAGGCACTACGAAAGCAGCTCTGCTCAGTCATCACCCTGCTGAAGCAGCGGCAGAACCACTTTGGTCGAGATGATTGCCATCAGTGATGTATTTAACATGAGAGGAGATGACTGTGAGCCTGCCTGTGCTGGGGTCGATATGCCATGGATTAAGCTGGAAGTGATAGCATGAGCCTACCTGGCACTAAAACATTAAGCCATAATGTCCTGTGAGAGTGTCTGCACGCTGAACCCCTACAGAGGAGCCAATGCACTGTAATTCCCCTCTCCATGTACCAAGCACTAACTTCCCTATGCAGATATACTCTGCATCTCTATTTATCATAGAATCATAAAATAGCTTGAGTTGGAAGAGACTCATAAGGATCACCAAGTTCAACTCCCTGCTCCTTGAAGGACTACGTAAAACTAAACTGTATGACTAATAGGATTGTCTAGATGCTCCTTGAACTCTGAGAGGCTTGGTGCTGTGACCGCTTCCCTGGGGAGCCTTGTCTAAACACCTCTAGCAGGTGAGGGTTGCTTAATGGCTACAACCTCTGGGCAAAGACACAGCAGCTCCTGGTTCAGTGCCCAGCCCCATCCATGAGCTGCTCTGTAAAACTGGGCTATGTAAAGTGTGTGTGTGTTTTCCCGTACCTGCAACATGGAAATAATGAAATCTGTGTAATTCCTACAGCATAGCCATGATTTACTAGTAGGAAAAGCCCTGTGAGAGCTTTAGACAAAAAAGCCTAGCCACTTAAATACTAATTCACCTCTCTTCTGAGTACATATGTCCAAGTTTCCCATGCTTTGGGTTAGCAACTGGAGAAACAAAATGTGTGTCTCCAAGTGCTCAACTAATGCCTGTTCCAGAGCATGCTGGAGTCAGTGGGAACCTCCCTGTGCACTTCAGTAGGCTTTGGATCTGGCCCTGAGCATGCACACAGTTTATCATGACCATGGGTACAAGACAGGTAATGCCATGTGCAAATGTCTGACTACACAGCAGCATTTCCATGCATCATCACAGTAATGGTGGGTGGAAACTGGACATATACTTGTTTATTCCAACCATATGAAAACTGGCCCTCAAACAAAATGTGTAGGGTATGGACTTGAACATCCACAACTTTGGAAGATGTGCTAGATCTAGACCCAGTTTTGTGAGTGGCTTTGGTTTTCTCTTTGGATGACCCCAGACATACTTTGGAGATGTTCAGATTTGATACTTGAATATTCTCTAGTTTGAATATACTGAATATATGTTTGTCTCCTTGCTAAACAAACAAACAAAAAAATTCCCTGTTTTCCTACCAAGACGGTGAGATACCATCTTACTGCAATCTATTGATTTATAAGATGCATGGAAGCCCTCTTTCCTTAAACACAAGTTGCCATAAAGGCTGCTTAGTTCATTTCTTTTCTGTGTATTTAATTTTGGTCAGGTCCTTCTGCCTCATCCAACAGGCACTACCCCTTCAAGCCTGTAGGCCTTGGTCCTCTGTGTCTTACCAGGGCACTGCGCAAGTCAGATTGCTTCAACCTACTTCCCCCCATTAAAACTCACTCTGACCCCAGTCCTGGAGCATGACATCTAAGAAATGCTTAGATCAAAGCTCTCCATCCCTCAGTGGGGTTTGGCCATTAACCTTTTGTTTATGTACCTGCTGTGCAATAGAGAGGCACTTCAGATATTTCCTTGCTAAACAAAGGCAGGCGTTTAAACCGAGCAATATGCTTTATGACTCTGGGCATGGTTGCTCCACATCCTCTTCGACTCTTTTTTCTGCAGAGATTAATGTTGGGATCTTAAACATCCCTAATGCCTTACAGACAATCCATTAACATCAGTGTCTCCTAAGTGGCTAGCCATACCATTATTTATAAAATAGGGATCCCTTCCCAATGCTACGGCTACCAATCCCTTGATTGCCTGAGCATATAATCAGGCATATTATCATCTGTGGAGCATTTTACACTGCTAAATATTTTTTACTATATAATGAGCTGCGTGTGTGTGAGTGACATACAAAAAATAGATGAATATTGCTATTGCACTTACTGCAATGTATGAGCTGATCTGGTTAGACATGAAATGCAGACAGAAATCCGCCTCACCTCTCAAGCTAATTTTAGTCTCTCCCTCTCTTCTCTCTAGCTGTGTGTGTATAAAATCACTCGCAGTCTGACAGCATTCCAGTAACCTATGCCACGCGCAGAGCGGGATGTGCTTACTAACCATCTGCTTGCATGGCATGGGTTAACTGAGCCTGTGGGATTGTGCTTACCTAAACAAAACCACTGCAGTGAGGGGAAAAACAATGAATGGGTGGAGATGATCAGCCCATGCATTCCAGCTAGTGCAGTCCAGGCAGCAATGACAGCCTGAAGGTTGCAGCAGCATCGGGATCTGCATTCCAAGTGCACAGATCTTACAGTCTGGAGTGATTTTACGTGGAACTGCTCTTTATTTGCTGAGCCATGGCCAGTAACCAGGCCAGCCTGCAGGATGATCAGAGCAGGCACTGCAAGTTCTTATCCTATATGTTCTACCAGGCTGTGAGAGATCACAAGCCTGTGTGGATGCTGGAAGACATGAGAACTATGGAGTATTTTTACTGGGAGGAAAATGCCAGCCTAAGAACCTACTCACCTTCAGAAGCCCTTCTCTATGCAGTGGTGCATAACCACCTGCCTTACGCTCAGTATCTGCTGTCTCATTTTCCAGAGGAGGCTCTCAAGGTGCCTGGGGAACACTTCTGCTATTGCCCATCCTCGGCTCCTCACTTGGCCATGGCGGTCACATATGACAGGAGAGATATCTTGGGGCTGATCATCAAAATTGCACACAAGCTCCCCAGCTTGAACTCCTACATCAATAGGACTGGCTGCTTTCATCTGGAAGATGGGAAAACCCCCCTGCACCTCGCCTGTGAACTGCTGAGGTCAGAGACGGTCCTCATCCTCCTCGGAAATGGAGCTTCTCCCAGGATAGAGGACAGTAAAGGGCTTACCCCGCTGGACGTCATCCTGGAGCAGATGTGGGACTCCAAAGTCAATGTGGCATCAAAGAAGCTCTGCCTCGACTACCTCTTGCTCTTCATGCCCAACCCACAATTTAAGATGCGGAAAGTTCTGCAGGAGCATCCGGACCACTGGACTGCTTTGCTGGGGGAAGACAAATTCAACAGCCTGGTGGGGAACACACCTGCTTCTTTATATCTGCAAGCTATGCAAACTATTCTCCAGACTCTTCCCCCCTCCCACTTCCCCAAAAGCATCCAGGAACTACCTATACCTCAGGCACTCAAGCCCTTACCATCCTATGGCAAAAAGCTACCGACAAAAAATGTGGTAAATGTTTTTCCTTGACTTTATTCGCTGGGTCTTGGATTTTCAAATGCAACTTAGGGGAGCTGGTCGTCTACCATCCTCTGCATTTTAGTGTGATTTTAGTACTTAACCTATTAGGCTATGCTGGAAAATCCAATATTTTGTGACAAGATTTTAAATGTCTTTTCTAATTGATTGCAGGCACGGCACTTTTAAAGGCAAAAGCCTTCCTTGGTTTCAGTTTTGTTGTGCATGTGAAGGGTTAACTGTAGTTGAAACTGTGTTATGTTTGGTTTCTTAGCTGTCAGCTGGTATCAGTGTATCTGAATTCCCAACATGATAACTGTATCCTGTGTAACGTACCTGGGTAAAAAGGAACTATGTGCCCATTGGGATTTTCAAATGGTGTAACTATGGGACCGTGTTCTGCCTGAGCTGGAAGAATTATCATCCCATACCAACAGGGTTCAAGCATCAGGTTTCCTTTCTAACAATGATCCAGCATCATCTAGTAATAACCAAAAAGTCCATGGCTGATGCTGCAGGGACGTAGAGGCAGTCCTGCAGGGTACTTGATTTTACTGTGTTACTTTACAGCAGGTCATAGCATGGAAAGCATGAATTCAGAGAGGGACAGTGAGTGTATATTTGGGGGGGGGCGGTGTGCAGGGATAGGGATAGAGATGGGCAGAATAGCTAATAGAAAGCATCCTGTCTCACCTGGGAGTGAGGGGGTTAAAGGCAATCCTAGCCTCTACAGACTTGTGCAATGGGGAAGGAACCATTTTCCCTGCTGTCCAGTAAATAACTGGAAATCAGAGCAGGACCAGTGGAAGCCCTGTCCTTCATAAGTGACATTATTTCTCCTTGACTTGTGTTTTAGGGCTGAACGTATCTCCACAAGAGACATAGCTCACTAATGATTTCCCAGTGGGTCTCAGAGCCATGGGCATTTGCTAGTTATCCTAAGCTGGGGTATGATGTTCTGCTGTTAAAAGCTGTCACTTGTCAGTTAGAGTATTTTTGGCACCCGCGTCCAGACAGAGGGTCTGATCCTGGAAAATACAAAAAGTTCCCATTGACTCCCCTGGGCACTTCGGGCAGGGTGTGTTTGCAGAAAGCAGGGCTGGGGCCCCCCTGCTTTCTGGGGAGCTGTGCGCCTCGCTGCCCAGGCAGAGCCCTGTCTGTTCAAGGCACTGGTCCTGCTCTCCTGGCCATGCTCAGCACCAACAGAGCAGTGGCAGCGTCCCAACTCCCTTTGGGGGACATCCCTTATTTTGGACCCCAATGTTCTCCTCTCTTCTTTGTAAGCGCAACCATCTGCTCTGCTGAAGTAGCATAACACATTTCCCCAGATCCATACTGAACAGCAGTGAAGAAATCACTCATCTCTTTAAATAAATTTGGAGCCAAAGGCTGTGGGGCACAAACCCCTTTTAGCAAGGCTCTGGCTAAGAAAAGATATGCACTTAAATCTCAATTGCTCCATGCAAAAATGGCTCGTGTCTCATCTGGCTAATTCCCTGCCTGTGTCAAGGCGGATGTGCTGGAGCTGCACCCTTTTTTTCCATCAGCACAGGGAGCACTTCCGCTCGGTTTTCCTGTGCGTGGGGTACCTCCCGTGTGCCAGGAGGCTGGTGATGCCAGCCACGGCCAGGTGGAGATTTCCTGCAGGGCTGCACAATGTGCCGGGCACAGCCAACTGGAACATCTTTTCGGAGACACCGGGATGCTCCTCCCAGACAGCCCTTCCCGCATGCCGTGGAAGCACCTCGGTGCTGGTGCCTCCCGCGCTGCACTTAGGTGAAGATGCAGGCTTGCTTGTGAGATGGAGAAAATGTCAGCCCAGTCCTAAAAGTGGCAAGCAGGCTACGAAGGGGTTAACCCTTCCCCTGAAATCCCACATCCCTGGTGCTGCAGTGTCCTTCCACCCCTTCCCCTGAGGACTTGCATGTCTTTCCCCATCTGTATCTATTCCTCCTTGTGTGATGGGGGAGGGCATGAATGGTGGTGGAGAGATTCAGGGTCAATCTTGGGCAAGGGTTTTGCAGAGAGGCTGCTCGCTCGGCAGCCTCTGCAGCAGGCGGAGGCTGTCACAGCTTGGGAAGCAAAGCAGAGCCCAAGATAGATTTACATTATAAGCGGTGGCTGAGCTGCTTCTGCCAAGCCTTGCAGGCTTCCCAGCCCTGGCAGCCCCCAGAAACCCGGAGCTGGAGGCAGAGACAAAGCAGGCACTTGCTGCCCAAGGCTCATGAGAGCAACTACGCAGAGCATGGCCCCTGTGGCACCCCTGGAGTCTGGAGGAGCAGGACTGGGTTTGTCCCTAGCAGCAATGCGGTATCTTATCTGGATGTCGGTGGGCGAGAGGCGGAGGAGGCTGGTGGTGGATATTATTAGAATAGTAATTAGGCCCTGGGAGCAGAGATCCCAGGGAGGGAGGGAAGGGAAATCATCAACAGCACTGGCTTGAAACCATGAGAGTTTTGGTGCTATAAAGAGTTTCAGAAAAGACAGGAGGGAGGGGAAGGCTGTTTGACTTATGAATCAAAGAAGGCAGGTAGGGATTCTTGCATTAATGAGGTAGCACTTTCTAATAAGGCAGGGGGCTGTACCCAGAGAGCCAGAGGAAAGCACTAGGAGCAAGTGGGTCTAAAATGGTGCAGAGATCTCCTGTTGACTGTAATAGTTGTGGATCATTGCAAAGGTCAGGGTTCAGGCACTTCAGGATTGATAGGTGGATTTGTAGCAGGCAGCAGGATGCTTGTGTGCATGCATTTGTCCATGTGGAAGGCTAGCCTCTATCCACCAGCCCAGACGGAGGATAAGAGGTAGATTCTCAGCAACTGCTCAAAAAACTCAAATTCTGGGGCATATCTGCATCTGGTACCACAGCGTGGAAGAAAGCTGCTGGCCCGCTGCTGGCCCACTGTTGGCCAACATGCAAAAACTCTGGTGTGCTCAGCCCAGTGTGCAACAGGCAGCTACCAGCACTGGAAAGATCACTCCACAGCCCTCTCATTCCTCCTTTTTGTGACCATTTTGACAAGAGATCAAGCACCAGCTGGCCCTCAGCTGCTGGGCTACCATATAACTTCCATGTGCGGTCCCACTGGGCCAGAGTTTAGGGCCATTAGCGCTGTGGTGACGGCTCTTTCCATCGCTTGTAGCGATACAAGTGCAGGATGGGACGTCCTTCTGCTGGAGTGGAGGAATCTTCTCCCTAAACCTGGTTTGCTTATCTTGCGGTGACCTGCCTGTTAGTTTGAGATCCCATTTGTCTTCCTGCTCAGTACAGTGACATTACATCAGATATAGCCAAATCTACCTCAGCCCTGCCTGTCTTGATTTTTTTCCTCCATTCTTTCCAAGCCAGGTCATTAGCAAAAGTAAACTCAAAATATTTGCCACACTTCCTGCAACCTGATAGTCTGTAGTCTTGAAAAATTCCTATGCTTGCATGACAAATATGTTAGTGACTTTGTTAATCAAAAAGGGTGCTAGGTGCTGTGCAGTGATGTTTACATTTTGCATATGTACATATTGAGTAAGTGTAGCTAAGATCTTTATTTCTGAACTTGGGAAAAAGAATAAAAGCAAGGGAGAAAAGGGAGAGGGCTAAGTCTTTGCTAACCTTTGGAATACAGGTTGGCTGTGCAGGTTACATCTTTTTAATTTCAGTTTTGAGGAGTAGCATTGTAAGGATCTGAGTTGTGTGTGTATGTGTGACACCAGTTTCGATGAGTATCATGTCAGTGAGCATGGCGAGTGGCTTGGCGTGTGTGTGTGTGTGCGCGCGTGTGTGTATGTGTGTGGGCCCACGTGTGCACATGTATGTCTGTGTCTCTGTCTGCCCTCTCCTGGTAAAACTCATAACTGACTTAGTACTTGTACACATCAGTGATCAATGCCTTAAGAAAGCAGCCTTTTCATGAGATGTGTGTGTCCCAAGCTCTGTGCTGCTAACAGGTAAGGACATTTCTTCTTCTCTTGTAAAGACGCAGCAGCTTTGCTCTTGAAACCGGTGTTTTACCCCTGAACACCTACCACAAGGACTTCTGCTTGCCAACAGCCACAACCATCCAGTGAAGTGTTTGTGATAGCATCCACATTTTATTCTCGAATCCATTTTTTTTTTTTTCATAAAATCTATTAAACATGCATCTTTGTCTTTCCTCTGGGCTGCCAGCAAAATTCAGCCACCTATGACTTCCTAACCCTATGCTTCTGTCTATTTCTGCAGCAGCATTATCAGGAAGGACAGGCCAGATTCTGACCTCAGTTACAGCTCTTTACACCTGAAGTAATGCTTTTTAAGTCAATTGCATCACTCCTGATGTTTGTTGTTCTAAAGGAAAACAGAAACTGTTTGTGCACTTGTATTCTTCAAGGCTCTGTAACTCTGGCTTCAGCATGTAAATAAATGTGATGCTTAATCCCTGAAAACATTTTTTACATTTTTTGTACTTTGAATGTATATAGATATATATTTTGCGTCTCTCTAACACTGATGGGCATTTCCCTGTTCCCAGTTCCCTTGGCTTTTTTGGGATCAGCATGACAGTGATAAATGCTGTTGTTCACTGATTAAGACCTGATGTTGCCATGCCCAAGTACAAATGAATGTTCACTGTATGATATGACTTTCTTATAAAGCCATACTTTTGTAATTTTGGTTTCTCTTTTTTAGGGAAAAAAAAATTCCATATAATTGTGTGATGTACATTACTCGCTGCATGATTAAAGATAAAAAGATTGTAACGTGCTGGGAATAAAATATATATACATACTCTGATATAATTAGGTTTATTAGCTGTGAAAATCATTTAACCTGATTGTATTACTGTAATAAACTTGCAGTATAAACTTGATGTATCTTTTATTAGCCAGTTGGTCAAAACCACCCACCAGTATCTATTGCTTTTGCTTTGGCTCATCTTGGTGTTTGATGATTTCATTCTGACTGCTGAGCCATTATCTCCAAAAATGTGATCTGAGGAAGATAATATTTTCCTTCACAGGCTTGCAATAGCTGGCTGTGC